CATTGGGGATTTTTATTTATGGTTTCAGATGTTATCTTTGTGTGTGAGAAATGATAATCAAGACATCTTGTGTGAGAATTAATTTTGTGACTAAGAACGAAAGCTGCTTGAATTAAATAAATAAATAAGTGTCACGGTATAAACACCAACCTCTTCCAGGGGAAGAACTCGCGGCGTTAGCGATCGCTGTTTGCTGCTGCTGGCGTGTTTTTCGTCGCGTTAACGTCTCGAGGCTAGGGCTTCTCCCGGTTTCAAGCGAGCCGTTTTTACCTTCCAAATATTTGACAGCTTTCGGGGGAGCCGTGAAATTGAACTGGAGGATTTGTTTGTTTGTCTGTTTGTTTGGCTGCAGTAGTAGGACACGGGCAACTTGCGCGCCGCATTCAAGCGGGCGTCCTATTCGATGACAAAAGGACTGTGCGAGCACTTTGCGGTAGAGCGTATGCGTACGATAATTGTCTGGCAGCGAAAGTTTTACACGGAGGCTTTTGTACGCCGGACAGATTAGAAGTAAAACTCGCAAAAGAGAACTCGCGCGTTGGCAGTGTCCTTGCTCTTCTCCGCAGTCCCGTTTCAGCGGGCTCCCCTGCCTGGTGGACGGGGCGCAGCGCTGCGACCGCACCGGCCGTTACACATGCCAACGCACTGTACGTAGTATTGTTATATACAGAGCGCTGCTCTAAATCAGATGGTGAATTTGGACAAGTCTTCACTGCAAACTGCCAGTGGATATCTAGATATAAACACGTCACTGCGTACGGTTTCATGCCTGGGATTTGCAGTTTGTAGGCAATTAAAGGAGCCTCTTCTGTGCGTTCAGTGCAGTCGTTTTTATTAAAGGCACTGGCATGTCAATTAACTTTTTATTTCCAAAGAAAGACTTCTTAATTTGAAGGTAGTCTGTAATATCAATTTTTAAGATCTTTATCAGGTGCCACCCTACAGTTATTAAGCCCTCATTGCATTTTATTCCATTCCGACTTGCAAAATAATTACATGATTTTCTTTTACCTTCATTAATGTGGTTGCATTTTCAATATAGGGACTTGGAGAATTTTATTGTTAGGTTTGAACAACTTTCCACTCATAATTTGCCTTATCTCACAAGCTAAAGATTTTAATCCTATTTTTATCATATTCTGAGTTATATAATTTTAATAACTCATTTAACTGAATATATAATATTTGTCATATTTGTTTTTGTTGGAGAGAAATGTAAAGTATTTGCCAGGCAAATCAATTTGTCATGCTTATATACCAGTCAGTGCAGCAACTAATACTTGGTCTAACAGCAATTAACTAGATGGTTGTATTTAATAAGTGCATCGTAAACCTCATCTGTGAAGTCAGTTTGAACAGAAATAACATAGGACAGAAAACCTGAACAGTGAGCAAAATCTTTTTTTTTTTTTTAAATCATTTCTAAACAGGAAGGCATTAAAGTAACTTTGATGCATCATTTTAGATGTACAAATAATTTAAGGAGCTGAAGTAAGGTAGTAATATTAAGATATGGACCACTGAAAATAACACCTGAACTGGAAATGCAGACTTAAATCTCACACTGTGTAGTAACAAGTATGTGCTTAAATACCCCATCCTCTGATATTAGAGGATGATTTGATAAAGGAGGCCATGGTGTGTGTGAGTAGGTTTTATTTTCTTTTATTTTATTGCACAATGACATGCAGCGCAGGGTGTGCTCTTCTCAGGGTAAATAATTTTCAGTTTACTATATGGACGTCTGTTACTTGGTCGTTGGATGTGGAATTTTGTAGCGAGCGAGCAGTGATTTCACAAAAGTTGTCAAAAACCTCATGCGAACGAGTTGCCCCTAGCTGATACCCGGGGAGAGGGTGGATGTGCGGCCCGAGGATACAGTTGCGTGGAGGAAAAAGTGTGGCTATTGTTTCGCCGTGTCCTCGCTGGTCAGCTAGCTGTGGGAGATGTTCTTGCTTTCTAAAAATATTTGTTGTGCACTGCTGTCGGGAGGCAGGACTTGAGAATTTCAGATTTTGTGTGATAGCGCCCAGACGGCTGTTTCAAGAGATGTTTTAGATAAATACGTGGAAGGATTAGAGATAGCTCCACTAATAACAGGAGAACACAGTTTATTATTCTAATTCTGCACGCTGCTAATGTGGAATTTCAGCCATCAGTGTGTTGCATGTTCTTCCTACTGGACAGATGCCCTTTTACAGTTGGAGCTTACCTTATCTTAGTGGTTCCCTTCTAAAATTTATATTTATTGTGAGGAGGAAGCACAGATGTCATTCCTCAGTATTAACCTGAAACTTCTCTTTTTTTTTTTCCAAAAAAAAAAAAAAGACCCTAAAGCAAAGCAATCCCAAGCAATGAAGTGAAACTAACTGTACTTTGGGAAGTGTGGTAATATTTCATGCTTAAAGTCATCTTAATAGCTTTTTACTCATCTAATATATGATGCTCTATTGTGATTTGTAACGTGTGAATGAAAATAAAGTAAAGCCACATTTCCTTTTAATCTTTAATTTCACAAACATGGCTTCTTACCATGTTAAGAAATGGTGAGGGCTGCAAGGGAGAAAGGAATGTAACCTGAGCCACAGCCGTGACATTCCCATGGAGCATTTTTCACATGAAAGGCTTTTGTCAACCCAGTAAAGGACCAGGAGTTTTTGTTTGATGTTTGCAGGTGTTCAGCAGAGAGCACTAAAACAATTCAGCCATGCTGGTTTAGAGACTGTGACCTTAACAGGGGGAATTGGTGAAGACTGAAATTATTATTTTTTTTTTTTAAGAAAACTTCCCTGGAGTTGCCTCAAATTAATATTGTATTTGTAAAGTGATTTAATACCTGTTACTTAAACTGAACAATATGCGTCCATTAGAATCAAGGGGCCTTTTTTTTATTTTTTTATTTTTTTAAGACAGTTGCCAAAACACAGTTAATTTTCCTAGATGTTGTAAAATTTTCTGAATAGTTTACCTTTGCTTCTGCAGTCAAAACATTTGTCATAAGCTGAGTGTGAGCCATTGTCAAATAAGGGGAAGGTGATGATCACTGGTACCAGGCTTGGAGAATGCGTTTTGAAGTGGTTTTTTGGCTATTGTGGTGCTAAAGGATTTGCTAGGTCTGTCGCACGTGGCATCTTTCAGTTTTTGAACTGTTAATCAAATCCCACATCTTCCTGATTATGTTCAATTTTTGCTTCCTCTATTTAGAGTATTTAATTTTACCTAAGTTTTTGAGCATCTGTTATAGATTGCCCACTATGTATGTGCTTGAATATTGTGTGGGTGTGAGTAGCAGCAGAACAACCGAGTTCTTGCGATTGGCCGTTCCTGTTGCACAAAAAAAATCTTTGCTAGCACAGCCATCTCTGAATAAAAAACTCAGTCAAATTAAGGGATTTAAAGGCTTGCTTTTAATTTTGCCATTACTTTGATTAAGGCTTGTCCTGCATTAGAATATCAGCGATTACAAATTAATAAATCTTAATCTAGGAAATCACAAATTCAGCTTGGCTTTGGAGTCCTTTTTTACTTTTGGTGTGTCTGTAAGCGAATCGTTGCAAAACGCAGACGTTTAAGTACTGTTCACTTTTCGGAGTGGGGCCTTCTGGGAAAGGTGCATATTTTTGCCATTATTGGCTGATCGGCAGAAAAGCGTATGCTAAATATAGTCTTTATCTTGGAAATGTTTTGATAGCCACTCAGACTAGGCACACCTGAGTGGGTACTCACAGATCCTGTTAGTGTCAGCAGGAGCAATGCTGGCGTGTGCTGGGGAGCAGTGCGCCCTTTACCTGGAGGTTGCTGGGGGAAGGCACTTTATCTTGGGGTTGTACTGCCGGATTGTCATTCAAAATAAAAAATTAAAATGGGAGGAATTGCAAGCACTTGGATCAGCAACGTAGCTTTAACGATGAAGAAAGAGAAGTGTCGCTCTGCAGCTGTATTCTGCAGTCATGCAGGTGACTCTGAAGGGTAGTTCACGTTTTTAATGGCTCATGTCAGGGAAACACAGAAAACGGCGCTTGATTTTTTTTTTT